TAGACTTGTAATTATTTTAACATATTTATATTTATTATTTACTTGTAATTTTTTTCACATGTTTATATTCATTATACAAACTTGAAATATTTCCAATGGGTAGTATTTTATTTAATTTATTATCTTAGTCACAACAATTACTGAATGCCTTTGAGGCAGTTGTAGTTTGATAAAAAAAAAATTAAATAGCATACGTCGAATTAAGGTAAGAAAAATGTATTATAGCCACGTTGTCTATATACAATATTTATTATTTTGCAGAATATTAAGGTAATGAATTGAATGATTTCACTAATTTAATTTCAAAAACTATAATGATTTTACACTAATTAGTAATTACAAATGCATATAATTTAGTGGTAAATACCAATTATAATACGACACTAAAATTTACTTTTAATAGTAAAGATTTTCTAATCAGTAACATGATCGTAAATATCACATTACAAAACAGTTAATTAATTTTACTTGGTAGATATCCTTAATTAATGTTCTTTCAAATTAATAGCTAGACGATAAAAAATTAAATAATAAATTCTTAATTAAAAGACTGTTAGTTCGTCTCGTCTTCCCGGCGTTAAAATTTGTCGTAAAAATAGTTAAATATAATATTTTAGTGAAAAAATCGAAAAACAGATTTTTTGTATATTAAACCGATCCATTTGTAGGCATGAATATTTTCTAGTAATAATCTTGAAGATAAGTCTAGACAGATTTACTTTTAAAAGGCACTCAAAGAAATCTTTATCTATTTGAATGCATGTTCAAAGACAAGCCCAAAGCAAGTGATAAGAAATGTGCATATATGCACATGTGTTATCGACCGGATATAAAAATGTATTTATTAAAGCAGACGCTGAGGCGAAATAACTATTTTTATACCAATTTTTTACTCTGGTGAATTATATATTTTATGCATTTTAGGGGGCGACCATTAATAAAAAAAATCACAAAATATCAAGTGGCGGAGAGAGAGGTATAGTAAGATATCACGTGTATGTATTTTTTTAATGTTTTTTTTTTTTTAATTACACGTGATGTTTGGTGAGGAGAGGGGGATAATTTTGAATATCACCATGTATCACCGAGGGGGAGGGGGGTCTAAAAATCCTCAAAAACTGGTTCACGTGATTAATGGACGCTCCCTTAAAAGTAAACGCAAAAAAATTAGAACTAAAAGTAGATGTTATACTATTAGATCAAAACTACGAGTATAATAAATTTATGGTGCAATTAGTCTTATTTAGTGTTTATTTGTGACCGTAATCTGATCAGAGCATTTTTATGACAAGGATGCCAAAGAGTTGCGAAAGTTCCTATATTTGGTCATTGCTCAATTGATACCTATTATGTATAGCGTATCCTATTATCGCAAAATATATATTTTTAAAGTTTATATTTTCAGTAGTAATTTTGTTTGATAGAGAACAACAAAATATTCTCCTATGTCCAGTTTTCATAATTTTTGAAATTGACAGAATAATATTGTTTCCAAGCATCCTCTATATTATCCTTGAAGAGAATACGATTATCACAATTGTGGTAGGTTCAAGATCTTTCAACTTGAGATAATGATATTATTTATTTGATGAACACTTATAGATGTACAATAAAAAATTAATTGCATCTAATTTAAAATAATATTTGCATATACGTTCTCTTAGATTAAATTCAAATTTAGTTTTGAAAGTATCTACAAACCAGATGCACTGTATAATTAAACAAAGAAAGCGTTTCGAAACTAATGAAACTAGATTTAATTGTGCTTATATTTTCAATTCAACATTTCAGTTTTCATAGAAATAAATTAATGTGGAGTTCAATTGATGATTTGTTTTAATACATTAAAGTGTGTTAATGTGCATTGTCAAGTGTGCATTAAATCTTTATCATTTGAATCTAGCATTAAAAAAATATATATTCATATTTAATTTAGTCATACTTTATATTACAATCTAGAACAATAACATGCACTCCACATATAGAAAATTATTGCTTCGTAATTTTTCGATTAATTATTATAAATAAATTTGAAGCTTCTTCTAATCATTTGCAAACAATAAACAATATTCATTTTTTTATCTCGTGATTTTTATTTTCGAAAAAAAGGCAGACGTGGTGTTAAAATATTTGAACAATGGCCATCTACCGTGTCACCTTGTTGATTCATTCTCGAATAAGACAAACAAAAATAAAAGTTTCAATGAATCTGTCAAATAAAAAACATCTACACAATATAAATATTGAAGTGCAATATAATTTGATTTTACTTAAATATTTAAATCATAAACTTGTTCTAATCATATAATCATATATTGATAAGATTCAGATATATTTTAAACCATATCATTTAATAAAAAAAAAGCTTTACCCATTATATGTGATAAAATGAAGTAAATAGCAACTTGTATAAATATAATTTTATTATATTAAAATCTCAACTGTACTCCTTCCGCGTCAAAAACTATTAAAATCTAATTAGCTTTGCACGCACATTTATTCATCATTTTCATAAATCAAATTATATATGTAAAATTTATAATTATTTAATTTTATGGAGTTAATGCAACGTCGAACCCATCGGATAATTTAAGTAAAATGTTCAAAGCTAAATAACTATAATTTAGTCATATAATTTAATATTCAAAGAACGTAATCATAAAACGAAAGATTTATTATTTAAGTTTTTTTTATGAAATTGATAAATATTACAAATTAATTAATGTATTTGTACAAGCAAAATCAAATAAATATATAATAATATAATTTTACCAGAATCTTGCTTCATATAATAATAATTGCAATCGTGCTTCAGAAATCTAGTTCTGCTTTCCAGTTACTAATTTTAAACGAATTTTCAATGCAATTTATAATTTCATGTTCAAATGCGACAAATTGTAGGTGACTCGATGGTAATGTGACTGCTTTAAATTTTTGTTTTTTTTTTCGAAAATAAAGATTGCAAAATAAAACAAACATAAAGTGAAAACATTGGGTTTACTGTGATATTCATTTGCATCTCTATATAATTTCTATTTTAGCTGCATTTTTTTAGTGGCATTCAGAACTACATTATACAGAAACAAGTTAAAAATATATGGTACTTGAATTGGTTAATAAAAAAAAACTTTAGTGTAATTGTAGATCTAACTAAATAAACGTTTCCCAAATGACTATTCCATTACATAAATTTGAAACCTACACAACCCGAAGCTATGGGTTTGGTTAAACTAAACAATTATTGTTTTACAGCCTCCAGTTCCGGGGACTCGGGCACGGAGATAAAATAACATATAAACGTTAGGCAACATTTCCATGAACCAATCTCATCTATTGTCAGTAAAAGTAAAAGTAAAATCTAGTAAAATCTCAGTTATCAAAATAGTGTATAAAATTGTATCATTTATTTGCATTTTGATAATTGTGATCAAAATAATTCTATAAAATTAATTCAAGTAATTCTACAACATTGATGAGAACTATGCAAATGCAGCATGTATGTGATAAATGAAATTCGTAAATTTTGGTGTATAATGCACTTAAAAATACGTACATACAAATATTATATTAGAACCATGGCTATTTGAAGTATGTACATAGTACAATTTTATTATATTATGCGATCATGTAAACCTTTCCTACCTATCGTAAAAATAAATATATACTAGGAACAGTCCCTTTTCTAGTTTGGCTTCTGGGCTTTTATTATGTTTATTCCGTTATAAACCTAATTCGGTCTATTTCTAGTTTTATTGGTAAATATAATAAAATTGTCCAGGAAATGATGAACTAAATTTTCGTAACTTTGATTAAGTATAGGTAAACTTCATTATCTAAAAGTATACTTTAACGACTTTAGTCGAAAAATCAAAAATTATTAATTATATTTATATTTGAAAAAGAACTCTACAACTTGCTGATCTATGTAAATTATTTATCTATAACAATTTTCACAAAAATAAAAAAATGTTTTACTTAATTAATCACTACAATCTTATAAAATATACCATTAAAGTTATTACATTTGAACAATTTAAAATTATAGAATTTATTATTAAAGTTTAAGCAATAAATTTAGACCGTAAATTACAGTTGTTTATAACTTTTCATAAAATGGATTAATAAATTAACGCAAAGAAATGATTTTTCTATTCAGAAATAAACGTAACTAGATGAAGCTTAGAATAAATTTTGTTTTGTTGAACAAATATTTTTTATAGATTATTCAAATAATGAATTAAATAATAGTGTATTAATTGCACGATTATAAAAATTAAATAAAATATAAATATTAACCTTTATTTTTAACAAATCAATATATCTCATGATTTTGAATTTTCATAAAAAAATTCTGGGGATCTAAAAAAAAATAATCATTTGGTTAACTGTTCCATATAATAAATAAAAGAAATAATTGTATATTTTATAATATGAATTTTTACACTTTAGCTGCTATACTACTGCTTTTACTGCTATTGTAAGAGGATATCGCAATTTATCTTTTAGAAAAATTTGGTTATTATTAATGGAACTGTTAATTATAGTAATATTAAAATTTGTACTTAATTTTATACTTTTAGAAAATATTCAATTAAAATTGAACCATTATAAAATGAAACCTTATGTGAAATTCACCCGATAATGAGTAATATAATATTCGCGAAAATCACTTGTTATAAAATGAAGAACAGATTATTTAGAAATGGCGTTAATATAAATTGTGGTAACTATGTTTTCCGTAAATAATCTGTTGATTTTCTGAATTGCCGCCTGATTGAATTTTCCGAACAAACAAGATGTTTGTTCTAACACAGCATTATTAAGTATAATTATAATTACTATATTTTCCATCCCGACGCTAGTTTGCAGACGATTTGGCAAATTGTCAAAACTAAATAGTACTTAAGTTAAGTGTAGAGAACAAGCTTACAATTCTCAACACATGCAAAAATAGAATTATATAAATAGCTCAATATCCTAAATTAAAACTTTATAAATACCTGTCTTGAAAATCGAAATGTATCATTTTATCCCAATCCATGTTGGCGGTTTATAGTCAATTGACACCATTAATCACGACATTTTAATTAACACAATAAATAGAGTTAACACACTACACAGTATGGAGTCTGAAACTGGGTGAGCATGGGTAACTGGGTAACTGTCTCTTAATTGCAGTCTTATATTAGTCATCTTTAAAATTGGTTTCAATTACTCACTGAGCTTATACCTGTTAATTATTTGATAATAATAATAATTAAAATGTATCTAAAAGGCACTTTAAAACTAGCAAGTATTACCCCAAAAACTACAAACTAAACTAAACCAAAATGTGAAAACTAATGATGTGAAAACAATAGTGAAAATTATACTCACTATTAAAATATTATACAAAGAATCATTGAAAATAATTATAATATACTTCTAAAAATTATGTTTCACTTCGATTAAGCAACTTGTTTTTCTCTCAAGACGATTTCTGAATTTAGGATAAAAGTAACTTGAAACATGTGTTCTATACCAAAGAAATATCCAATAAATTAAAATGCGTTTTGAGTATACTGTGACTGAGTTTTGCATCTATATAAAATCTGTAAATGAATTTGTCTATATAAAAAATTAACATTTTAAGTAAAATAATATCGTTTTATACTAGAGTTCTATGTATGCAATAGAAAATCAAAAATTTGTAGTGTTTATTTCTCGTTTTTCATAGACCAAGAAAATTTTGAATGTCCTGACAAAGCTCTTGCTAAAAATTACAATGAGTTTAGTAAAAAGTCATTTATATATTAATACAATACTGAAAATTATTGAAAACTCAAGGCAACAATCTTTTAATAAGAAAGCCATTTTATTTAATTGACTATTTATTATATACACTTATTTAATTTATAGTTCATTATTTTGATTTTAATTCACATGGCTGCAGCTTTTAATTTAATTGATAAAATCCGAAAAGCTTACTCAAACCTAAATGCTGGGATTAAAAGCAAAATCAATGTTTTTCTTTGTAAAGTCATGTATAAATTTAGAAACATTTAAAACATTCCGTACAAAAAGTAATCAAACAACAAATCAAAACTGGAACTGATCACACTTAATTTATTCTTTAGAATCAATTCATTTCATTTTTATTACGTACAATGCTCTTTCAAATACATATGATTTCACTCATATCAAACGTCATTGTTGAAAAAACTTGCAGTTATTCATATTGTTCGAACATTTTTAATTGATTTGATTAAGTATTAATCCTTTCCACTCGGATGCCGCAAGCATCAAAATATGTATTAATACTGCAATTCGCGAGTGGAAAGGGTTACACATTGTAATGAATATATACGTCAGACTACAACATTTTTCAAAATTTAGATAACTTGTATTTATCGTCAAAAATACTGAATGATTTTTGTTTATAAATTAAAAATACTAAAAATTGGACATTTGCATCAGTAAAACAATCAAGATGGGAAGGCTGAAAAAGGTCTAAGAAAAAGTGCAATGGTTCAGAGTATTGAATGTTGTAATAAATGCATACCGTTCTAGCCCAGAGTATATCTATAAAGAGTATAAATTATGGAAATCACAGAAATTATGAACGCAGAAATGCAAAACATCAACAAAATTAAGTAAACAAGAAAACTCAAGAAATAAGAAGAAAAGAAACAAGAAACTCCTCAATATAACATCATCATATATACTTATAGAATCTATGTATTCTGATTGTCTAGTTAAATTAAAAAAATAAAAATCATTGATAAAAATAGTTTCAAAAAGCCGTCCAAGCACTGCTACTGCCTCAATTTCACGAAAGCTCTTTTGTTAGAACATTTTACTTAACATTTAACTATTAGCATGTCTGGAAAAGCCACTACCAGGAGCAACTATAACTCCTTCAACAGAATACGAATTTAAATGAACGAGCAACATTTGAATAATTTAATAACAAGAAGGAAAAAATAATAATAACCATTCTTCATCGTAAATTAACAATTCATTTCATTTCCAAAGGCTATAACCCCTGACATCATTCGCATATTAATTCGATTGTGTCTGCCAAAACCACAATGGGAAAGTAAGTAAGTATCAAAAACCAATAAATTAAATTCGCAAACGACCAAAACCATTGTGAGACTACTTCGAATGTATGGTGGCACCATACATTCTCGTATATTGGGTTAGGTCAGTGATCGCTGGAGTTAAAAATAAATTGAACCATAAGGATCGCGTGGGCGACGGATAACTATTTTTGGTTTTTGTTTTCAGAGGAATATCAATAAAAATTAATTGGAACCAAGCCAGTCTGACATCATAAGTCGAAAGGGTCAGAATGCGGGTCAGACTTTTCGGATGAGTGAACTGTGTGAATCGTTAAATGGATGGATTGTATTTATATTGGGGTTTTGTGGAATTGGCTAAGTATGGATGGGGAAATATATGCCCAATTATAGAAATTTCAAGCATAAATTAGCATCTAGAAGTAATTACAATGTAAGTGAGAGAACGATCGTTTCCAGCAATGGTAATCATGTCAATATTGGATGATCTTAAAGTTTTTTGTATATTTTTGGTTAAATGAAACATCAACCCGTTGGGTTGCCATCTATAAAGCCACGTCGTTAAGAGAAGTCGGCATAATTATCGGCATATTATCAAAATTATTTTTATTGCAATCCACAATAAAACCCTTGTGAAACTGTGTCTTGAAAATACTGCTTACTCGTAATTAATGTTGCCCATAAATCATAGTTTGGGAAAAATAAATAGCTTTTAAACCTCTTTGTAACATTGGTACAAAGAACAATAGAGTGGAATTGTTATATTTGCGATTACTTAGCCAAACTGTTAAAGATTAAAAATAACTGCACATTGTTTGAACAATGACGTATGTGAATGAAAAAATATGTACTGAAGGAACATGTGCATAAAAAAGGTGAGATGAAAAAAAGTTTGAAGAAATGAATGAATGCATTTTGAAAATGAATTGAAATCAGTTATTAAATAATTTTTTTTTGTTATAAATGTTTTATTTTTAAGTTATGAGAACGACTATAGATATATAATAAACATTAGTACAATAATTTTATACGCGTGTTAATAAGTGTGTTAATTATCATTAAAAAAATAATTGGTTATGTAGTAAATTTCATGAATTAGTCATAACATTGTTTTCACATTATGTAATATGACATAACACAAGATTTTAAAACAATTTGAAGTATTTCAAAACCTACAGGCATATCAGAAATGACAACGAAAGATATGCCGAAATTCGAAACCTGAAATTTTTGATAAAAATCGCAATGAAATATGTAGACAAAATAATTTCAGAGAATAAAATATATCGCGCATGTAGAATACCTAGACAACATTTTTAATTAAAGGAATTTATAGAAATTGTTGTACAAGCCACGTGAAAAAAACCATATAAGTAAAAATAGTAATCATTTTTCCTAACTAATTAGTTTTGATCGATTAAAAAATATTTTTGAATAAATTGTGCGCATTATTTATATTTTCAATACTTTATTGTTTTCTTAAAAGTGTCTTAAGTGCATAATATTCTTAAATTTTTTTGCAAAATTAAAAAAAAAATACTAAGGATTCTATATGATATAATTAAAACCCTTGCTAGGACCCCTTAAAACCCTGGCAGTAATCAAAGTAATATAAAGTAAAAATAAAATTTTACTTGAATTAAGAATTTTTTCATATATTAACCACATGCACCAAAATCCTATACTTCAAAAAAATCTGTCAATTTCGCTGGGCGCTTAAGCGATTCTAATCAGAATCTATGCCGAGCATATGTTTGTCAAGTGTTTTGTAAGTAGCTACTGGTTACAGTTGACGTACTCACTTAAATATTACATTTTTAGAACACGAAGTGGATGAAATGAAACAGTTTAATATAATTTATACAATTACAGACATGAAAGGCATCCATTGGAAATCGTATTGAATTTTAACAAATTTTTTTTTTTTGAAATTTTACCTAACTAGCTGTATCTTAATTCTTATCAATTAAATTGGTTTCGAATCAGAATCTATGCCCAGCATATGTTCGTTGAGTGTTTTGTAAGTAGCTACTGGTTACAGTTGACGTCCACATTTAAATACATTTTTGGAACACCAAATGAATGAAATGAAACAATTTAATATAATTTATACAATTACAGATATTATAAGTTTGAAAGACATCGATTCGAAATCGTATTGATGATTTTTTTAGTAAAAACGAAAATTTTCTTTTTAAAATTAACAGTTGAACATTATACCCAACTAGCTATATCATAACCTATTCTACTTGCGAATTCCGAGATGTATACGAATTTTACAGCATCCGAGTGGAAAGGGTTAATTCTCATGGATTAAATTGATTAGATATACGTATCAGAAAGTTTGTACAACTTGGTATAAGGCAAAATGCCACTTACAATTAATTTGTATTTCGCTTCCACTAAACAAAATGTGATGTGTAGTAGACAAACTAGCTGTAAGTGGAATTCTGTCTTAAGGCAATTAAGGCATCGTGCCTTAAGGCAAATTGCTGGAACTTCCCGTACCAAAAATTATTTTTTTAAAAACGATTCACATTTTTGAAAAAAAATTACTTTGAAAAAATCAGATTTTTGACAAACAATTAGACAAAAAATCACCTTTTTTTGAAAAAAAAATTTTTTTTAATTTTTTTTTTAATTTTTTTTTTTTTTGAAAAAAAATGTTTTCTTTATTTTGACATATTTTGAAAGATTTAAACTTTTTTTCAAAGCAATCGTACTGCTTTAACTGCATAAAGACGAAATATCAAACCGCGTAAGCGCCGCGTCGACGTCTAACGCGTAAACATTGGTACGGAACTCATAGGAATGTAAACCAAAATTATACTTATTGTTAAAATCTCTATAAAATATCTGATAATTTGATGTGCATATGTCTAATGATCATTTTTGACCGCCAAATGGCATTTTTTTTTTTTACTTTTTTCGTTATATCTCCGAAACCGCTAGACCTGCCTTTATGAAAATTCTTCTTCTTCAGGTTCTTCACCTTCTCAATACAAGTAAAATGTTTTTTGAATTATTAAAATCGGACGCTCCGTTCTCTTAAAAACTGGGTTACCGTTTTCGGCACTTTTTGCCCCGTATCTTCGGAACGGCTAGACCTGACTTCGCCAAAAACTAATCAGCACGTCTCCCTATCAATACGAATTGAATGTTTTTTGAATTATTCAAATCGGTTGATCGGTGTTCCCGAAATCGTCGACGAAAATTTGTATCCGCGCACACACACACACACACACACACACACACACACACACACACACACACACATACATCCATTTTTTCTAAGGTATGCCAAAATATTCAGAAACCTTTGAAACGTCGAGAAATGCAAAAATTTTCATTTTCGATTTTTTTGCGATTACTATAACTTACCCTACGGGAAGTTAATAAAAGGTAAACCCCTTAAAAACCAATGATAAATAAATTTATTACTCATTGTCCTATAGGCGTATTGTAATTTATATGAAAACTAAAAAAAATTGCCTCCTTACAATATAATTAAATATAGTGATAAAATAATGCACTATTATGTTACTTTAAACGGCTATTAACACTATGTTTTCACTGTAGAACCCTCCGTATGTCAAAAACCACATGTCACTAAACCTATTTTTGACAAACTCATGGCATAATCCTCCTAATTTATAACTTCACACTAAGAACTTTTACACAAAAAATCTAAACAAACACAATTTGCACACAAAAATATTGTCATTTATCCAGCGAATCCTCAACCCAGGCTGTATCTTTCCTCGTGGCCTGGGAATACTAATATACTCGTAATGCATAATTTTCGCATTTCTTGTGTTATTGGCCTTATCCGAATAAAAACAACGTATTTTGACACACGTGTGGTTCGACCGGTTTTTCTGTACATGACGGTTATAAATTCAAGATGAAAAGGGAAGATGCATTTCATTAAAGAGCACATGCGTCTTCGGACGTACGCGCATAGCACGCGACTGAGGAGGACGACTGAGTCATATCAACAAATGAGCCGCTGTTATTGCATGGATAGAGGATAGAAACTCTAGGCAGCGCAGCCGGTACGGTACGGCTCGTACGGCGAAAAAAGCAAATGTTTTGGAAGCTTGCGATAGTTCTGACATGTGTGCGTTGGGGAGTTTGATGTAAGGGCTGGGTCACACGACCCGTTGTTAGCTTGGAGAAATTTTTATAAGGGAAGTATGAAGGAGGTAAATTATTAATCTCCCGTTACACTAAGGTGACCATATTTTTTTACGTCAAATCCAGGACGATAATTTTCAGTTATGTTTATCCTGGACGTCAGAGGTGGGGAGGGGGGGGGTGTTAGTCGTTCATATAACAAATGCTATTCAAGGATACAATAAAAAACAGCTTTTGTAAATGAATCTTTTTTTTATCATAATTGCGGATTTTTAGTAAGAGCTTTATCCTTCGACATTATTTCGAAGACTTCTTTATATATGATATAATATATCTTATATTTTGTTTAATCTATATGTTATATTCAATTTTCTTCATAATTAATTTGAAAAAGTTAGCATCTGTTATTTTGTTTTCCTAATTTTTATTAATTTAACTATTAATTTTCGAAAAACCGAGACATCCTGGACAAAAAATTGAAATCCGTATGATGAACTTAGTCACACGCGTGAATATTAGGTTGTCAAATATCTCCCTCCCGCTTTTTTGCTCTTGGTTTATAATACAAAAAGGCAGAATGGAGATATTTGACAACCTATTATTTTTAACAAGACTACACGCTCCAGACTCTGAGTCCGCATAGAAAAAACTTCAAATTTTTAACGAATAAGAACTTTTATATGGATATTTGTAAGGAAGGATATATTAAGGGTATAGGTGTATTTGATCTAATTTCAATTTTCAATTCAAAGACTATATATTTCAGTATATAAAAGTATGTACATTGCATTTTATAACATGGGTTTTTTACCCGTAGGTATTTGATCTACGTCATTTTTGAGAGAATAGGTAGCAGGCAAGCTCTCATCTGCCGGATTTAAAGTAAAACTCGTTGCCCCAGTTTCTTATATTCTTCGTAATTATTGTTTAATAATAATAATATCGTAATAATTAATTTGTTCGGCAAGCATTCTTATGTTATATTTATTTTAAAATTTGGTTGTAATTTATATTTTCCCTTATTACTCGTATTTATCTCATATTGTTTCAATAATAACTGCAATTATAATATAAACTAAGCTTTTTCTAGTACGTAGGATCAAATAAAACCTTTTGATAATATGTGGCGCTAGGACAAATAGTTTCACTTTTTGAACATCATAAGAAGACATGTCATTTTTATGGATTTTTGACGACGATGCATGAGTTATGGCAAGATATTTACTTCGCGAGGACTGAAAGTCTTCGCGCGCATAAAGAAAGGTTAATAAACTATTCCCTTTGGTCTAAGCTCCTCATTGAACTAATACTTCTAGAGTTCGAACTTATGTTCCTGTAATTTTGCAAATTCTAATAATGCATAATATTTCATATTCAAGAAATCCAAATAAGGTAGATTCAATTTGACATAATATTGCTGAAGTTTCAAATTTTTAATAAAAATGGTTGATCTCACAAAACATTTTGCTCAGAGAGAATAATTGTTACTATTACGGAATTAAAATCACAAACGTACTGTTTGTATTATCGCAAATTTTTGTTATTGTAATAAACATATTTAAAATTAAATTATTCAAAAGTATATTTAAAAGATATAACTAAGTGTAACGTCATCTATAACTAAAGAGATATATAATAAAGATTATTCGAAATGTAGGAGTGACATCAAGTCATTGTGATATCAGTGGGACCCCGTGAATTAGTGGCCAGAGCTATAAATTTGAATCAGAAGTTTCAGCTACAATATCTGCCTCGGAGAGCATGATGTCAAGGAATAGTAATATGAGCTTGTACTTGTAAATATATGTTTCCAAGCTGTTATTTAGCATTACTGCATCATTAAAAAAAATCATCAGTAATATAGAAATTGTAATAGTAAATTCATTACAGAGTTTAAAAATGTCGTAAGTCAGGGTAACAACACACAGAACTCCTTAAATTCTGCTAAATATATGTAAAACATGATATAAATTATCATAAAATTAGAAGTAAGAAGAAAAAAAGGAGTTTAGTTTAGAAGATGAGAAGAACACATTGAGAAACAAAAAGAAGAATGAAAATCAGTATAAGAAATGTGTATGTAAGAATTGTATAGAATATGATGAAAAATATGAAAAATGTAGGTGGCTAAAAATTCTGTAGAGCGGAGGCTAATACAAATTTAAATTAAAAAAAAATAAACAAAAATGTTTTTTTAAAAAATATCACAAATCTTTTGGATTGTATAACAATTTTGAGTATTATTGTTTATCGCAGTCATGTATTCCACATTTCCAATTTCGACATAGAAAAAAATTAATTGAAGCTACAAAAATGCTAGACGACTGATCGATAAATATGGCCATGAGTTTTCCAAATTCCTATACCTTGACCAAATTGCAAAATACTAAAAACTCAATAAATTTATTAATTAACAGTAATGAAAAACGATTGTATTTGATAATTTTTTCAAACCCCTGCCATATGTACGCCTCCTAAGCGTGTAAATTCGATCGTATGTTTGGTTTTAGGTTTCGTCGCGCCCGTATGCGTGCGGTTCGAATGCATCGGTGTGAGTGCAGGTTTGGTCCATGCCATGCGCTTTGGTAGACGCGTGCTATTGCTATGCTAGAAGGGGACAAGGAATCCCTTCTGTGACACGAAGTCGAACCCCGGCGTGCGGTTCATAGTGGAAAATTTGTTTTCGATTGTGAATTTTGATAATGTAAAAGAATTTTGATGTATTATAATCGATTTCGTTTTTTTTATGTATTATAATATATTTTGGATGTCGCGGCTCCGTTAGCAAAATACGTAGTAGTTTTGCAATTCGCGAGTGGAAAGAGTTAATATTTACACTTGGAATAGATGATAAAACGGTTTAATTTAAATTCAACTAATGGAGATTTTACAGCAATTAAGATTATTCATATTCACAATTTGAAAAATCATTTACTAACTTTTCGTAACAAGTGCTAATGAATATCTCAACTAGCTGTAAGTGGAATTCTGTCTTAAGGCAATTAAGGCATCGTGCCTTAAGGCAAATTGCTGGAACTTCCCGTACCAAAAATTATTATTTTTTTAAAAACGTTTAACATTTTTGAAAAAAATTTACTTTGAAAAAATAAGATTTTTAGGAAACTATAGATTGGACAAAAAATTACTTTTTTTTGAAATTTTTTTTTAAAAAAAAAAAAATAATAAAAAACTTTTTTTTTTGAAAAAAATATTTTTTTTTTCTTTATTTTGACATATTGTGAAAGATCTGAACTTTTTTTCAAAGCAATCGTACTGCTTTAACTGCATAGGGACAAAATATAAAGCGCGTAAGCGCCGCGTCGCTGTCTAACGCATAAGCATTGGTACGGAACCCATAGGAATGTTAACAAAATGTATACTCATTGTTAAAATCTCTATAAAATATCTGATAATTTGATGTGCATATGTCTAATGATCATTTTTGACCGCCAAATGGCTCATTTTTTTTACTTTTTCCTCCATATCTCCGAAACCGCTAGACCTACCTTCATGAAAATTTTATCGATTCTTCATCTTGTCAATACAAGTGAAATGTTTTTTGAATTATTCAAATCGGATGCTCCGTTCTCTTAAAAACTGAGTTACCGTTTTCGGCACTTTTTTCCCCGTATCTTCGGAACGGCTAGACCTGCCTTCGCCAAAAACTAATCAGCACGTCCCCTTATCAATACGAATCGAATGTTTTTTGAATTATTCAAATCGGTTGATCCGTGTTCCCGAAATCGTCGACGAAAATTTGTATCCGCACATACATACACACACGCACATACATACATACATACATACACACACACACACACACACACACACACATACATCCATTTTTTCTAAGGTATGCCAAAATGTTCAGAAACCTCTGAAACGTAAAGATATATAAAAACTTTCATTTTCGATTTTTTTGCGATTACTATAACTTGCCCTACGGGAAGTTAATAAATGTGATATTGACATAAAGAATTCTTCAATTCTAATTCATACTATCCTAATTTATAATAGGGTCATAATTATAATTCCTATAATTAGTTTATTTCACTTTAAGAACTTATTTTAAGCAATACCATGCGAATAAGTTAATAAGAAATAAATAAGTTAAAGTTGTATTTTGAAAAAGATTGGCATGAAATGTTATTGACATTAATTTTACCAAAACGAAAACGAAAATTTTAATTTATCTTTCCGTTTCAAAGTCTTCTGAACATTTTGGCATACCTTATAAGAAAATGGGCAATTTGTGTATGTGTGCGAGCGGATACAAATTTTCGTCGACTATTTCGAGAACAACAATCAATAAACATTCGATTCGTATTGTTGGGGAGACGTTCCCAGCCATTTCAAAGGCACGAGACAAAAATTGCAATTCAGTATTTGAGAGAACGAAGCGTCCAATTTGAATGATGAAGACCTGATGATTTTTTTGTTTTATTTTGAAAA